GGAGGTCTGATCTTTTTAAGTTCTTTATAGATTCGAGATAGTAGACCTTTGTCTGAGGAAGAGCAGGTGAAGATTTTTTCCCATATTGTGGGTTGAGCAGAGCTCTTTCTTTACTGACTGGTATTGAAAAAAACTGCTGGCCTCTGTCACCGCTATTACACGTTATTAAATGCTTTAGGCTCTAAAGATTAAAATGTGGAAAAGTAATAATGTTTTATTAAGTAATAATTGCTTCAGAGAGTGGTATTGTACCTTACAGCGTGGGGACGTACTTGTGATGCTGAAGCAGGCAGAAAATAATTACTTGGAATGCCAAAAGGGAGAAGGTACCGGCAGAGTTCATGTGTCTCAGATGAAGATTATCACTCCTCTTGATGAACATCTTAGAAGGAGAGCCAACGTAAGGAATTAATATTGTACAGCCCTCGTACTATACATGGCAGCACATTTCATAGAACTATTCATTATATCTCATCCCTAGGTTTATTTTATTAGCATGATTATTTTAACTAGAATAAAAATTACCGTAGCATTTTATTTTTTTCAAAATAAATGACTTCTGAGAGACTTGCTACTACCATCCTGAACACCTGATACGTAGAGTGACTACCATTGGTTTTGCCTTTTTCATAGCTGGTTTATAGGATCCAAAATACTCACCCATGAATTTTCAACTGGGGAAGCTGCCTTTTTTTTTTTTTGGTACCGGGGATCAAACTCGGGTTCTTGTGCTTGCACAGCAGGTGGCGAAACCACTGAGCTAAATCCCGGGCCCAGGCTGTTTACTTTTTAAGTAATATAAACATGTTTACCAAAGTACCAGAGATTAGTTATCTAGCAGAATGGATAGTAATTTTAAAGGAGGCCCTATAAGTGCTACATACTTCCTTTTTAAAAGTATAAACTTAATGTAAACCTCACTCCTCTAATTTTAGCTCCTAAAGCAATGAAATACAATCCAGCAACTACAAATCACAATGTAGTCCTAATAAATTTGCAGAGCCTGGGAAGATACAATGATTATTGGAGGTCATTTATCAAGAGAAATACCGTTGACCAATTGGTAGAGATGTATTTTTAGCAGAGTTTCTTAAGTTTGCTAGTTAGATTTCCACTGTTAATGTAGCGTTTATGAAAAATGATACCCACCAATCATTCAACCCAAGAAAAGTTTTTGATTTGCCATTCATCCTGATTATCATGATCTAATCCAATTCTTTCTTCTTAGAAGGTAGTTTTATCTTTTCAAGTTTGCTCAGAAACTAAATATTTCTATTTGGGGTAGCAGAGACAACATGTTCAGCTAATTGCACCTGGCATGTGACTATTCTGTCTTCAGTTCACACAGGAAAGGTTCTGTCACTTATTTTCTCTATGTTTGAATGGACTATTGTCTATCTTCCGTCGCTGTCCTTCCTCTCTCAGAATACACTGATGGTTACAGTGGGAGCTATCCTGCCAAAAAGCTTTTCTTTTTGAAAAATAAAAGCTAAAACTTAAAAATTTGTGTGTGTGTGTGTGTGTGTGTGTGT